ATATTTGTACTGAATATAATAATTGAATTGGTGTAACTTTAAATTGCTTTCAAAAACATATTTTTATCAGTACCGCAATAAATCACAAATACGAATATTACATAAAAAACAGTCAAGATTTATTACAAAATCACGTACATATTTTATCATTAAGAAGTAGTTGCTAGTGCTGATTGCTTTAAGTTTAAACCGAACGATCCAAATTCATGTTACTGAAGCCATTTTCCGCTATCCCTATCACCTATTATAGTTAACACAATATCAGTATATAAAGTATCGTAGGAACTCATATTTTCAGTGTGTACCTTATGTAACTGTGGCTTAACGAATTTCCTGTTTTACTTATTTGAAGTATAATATCCACCAATCGAATGACTTCCAGAGAGAGTATGAATTTTGCTCTTTAAAAAAAAAACACTAACAACTGTACAAATACTTATGCGTGTTAACGCGGTACTGTTTGTGATATTATTAATAATTTTATTCTAATACAGTTTTCTAGTTTCACAGTGTTCTTCTTGTCTAAATATATTGATAGTTTAAAAAAAAAATTTACGCTCTATATCATTACTACAACAGATTCATATTTACAATATTAACCAAAAAAAATTAATAGTCTTGTAGGGGTAAATTACATTAAAATGATAATTGATAATGTTTTGATAAATAACTGATAATACGATGATATAGATGATAGACGAAAGGGTTAAAAATGATAACAACCGATTCAGCCGAATGCGTAATGAGCACTGATTTTATTGTATTATTAACAAAATTACAATAGCTGACGCAATTAATATAAAATGAGTACGATGACTCGTACAAGTCTGATTAATAAATAAACAGTAACTATAAAAAAAAACGGTGAAAAATTCACACACTGCTATAGTGTTAGGTATTCACAAACTATGCGGTCGCGTTTCAGTTAGTTAGAAGTAATTAAATCTGTGTCCAAAGTTTATTATGGCCCCCGCAAACCTACAAACCGAACCGTTCCTTATCCTGAATAGTTACATTTATCGACTATCGATTTTGTGAAATGTTTAATAGATTAAATGTACGAGTAAAACCACAATCATGTTTTCTTTAGTATTTGTTTTTTAAAACCGGCCAAGTGTGAGTCCGATTCGTGCACGAAAGGTTCCCTATTATTATATAAAAAACGCAATATATCTTATAATATTTATTTTAATCTGTTTTTAATATTTGTTTTTATCTGTGTTAAATTTTTAACTATCAAGCTATCGCAGTTCATACGATACCGTCTAGAAACAACGGATACACAACAGTGTCTTAGTAATAGGGTCCCTTTATTACACTTTGGGTACGGAATTGTAATAAAAAGTGCTTAAATTATTTATAATTAAATTAAAATTCATATTTTATTATAATTTAAATCCACGCGAAAGTCAGTGAACACATGTGTCCACCAATCTTCATAAGTTAGAAATCGAATTTTCATCCCCTTAAGCAATGTAAGGAATAGCTGATGCTTTTTAAGGATCCGTACCCAAGACGTCAGAACGGGACCCTATTGCCCGCTGTTCGTCTGTCTCCCACAAGACTGTGTTTCATTTACTGTTAAAGATGGACAGTAGAAATTTTCACATATGCTAAATTCCTAAAGCCGCCATAACAATAAGTGCTAAAATCAGATAAAATCATTACTTATATATTGATAATGGTATGGAACCCTTCATATATAAGCATTATTCACACTTGGCCAGTTTTATCTATGTTGCATTCAATTGAAAATATAATATAAAAATTGTGTACGTTATAAATAAACAACATGTTTGCTTCAATATAAAACTTTATTGTAAAGACGGTTATAACATCACACTTTCCCCAAAGATTGATGTCGCATGTGATTTAAGTTCCTCTTATAGGCAGCGAGACGAAGTAAAACTATCAATCTCTTCTACTTGGCATTTCATACAAGATCATAGTGTATATATGTATATACTGCAATATAAGTTCTAGGTCTGAACAAAATTTTCTTCAGCGTAACTTATTAGTTGATCAAAGTCAATGAGAAATTAAATTGATTGGATTAAACTCATCGGACCAAAACTTATAAATAGAGAGCTCGATGTATTATAACGTAATGTACGTATTATATAATAATGTATTTTAAACCGTTTTTATAACCCATCAACCCCAGCAGCAGTGCTATTCTGTTATAAAAACAAACTCGAACTCAACATCAAGAGCGAGGCTGTTGTTATAACAGAATTGCACAGCGCTCGATGACGCAGAACACCAACTTATTGGGCACCGAACTATATCTAAGGTTTTGTTTCTCGAAAAAGTCTACGAAAAACTTTGTCATATAAAAACTTACACGGTTTACAAAAATTTATGCGCATAAAAAAACCAATCCAAAACTAGACCATAATTATTACACATTGAAAAGTTCGCTAAGCTGCAATGAACACACATGATTTATTTATTTTCTTAAGATCAGGACGCCTTATTCTATAATAAAGGTAGGTATATTGTCAAATTCCTGACAAATGTAATCAATGCACAAAAAAAACAAAACATGTTTATCTTTAAACAAAAACTTATTAGGTTTACCAACATCTATAAAAAAAATACAATCCAAAACTATAACTTTTGCTCCTGTACATGTACGATAGTATCACTGTGCAGCTTGTGTTAATTGCTTACAAGTTGCCGAATTAACCAACTCCTTTGGGTACTCAAGAGACGCAAGTATATAAACTGTCGATGCGAAGGCCGGTTCCATTTACACCAATCCTCTTGACAAATCAGTTGATTAACCTTACGTCACAGAATAAAACGGGGCTGTCGCAACTACGGCCCGCAGACTACAAACAGGAAATAAATGAAATTGTTACGTTTATTTCCTATCGTTTAGTGTCGTTAATGTTATATTTGTATAAAAAACTATAGATATATGAACAAATAACAGTCATTCACCTCCGTGAAGGACAGATGCTAGTCTAATATGCAAAACAGAGCGTCAACAAACCATTTTTGATTGATTAATGGCAAATTATGACGATTATTGTAAAGTTTCTTATTCGCAACGTTTGGTTCTACAGGGATTCACACAATCAATATTCACAATAATTACGCGAAACAATGTTAAGTTGAACCTAAGAGATTTTTTTTTTGTCGAGAAAATTTGTTGAATATATGTTTTGGTCCAATTAAATACCATAGAATAATATTCACTCTTTATAAATAAGATGTAGTCTTTATTTCTTTATTCACAAACGACTTGAAAATAGTCATTATTTTACACTTGCATAAAGAGCGAATCTTTCTGTCGCCAAATACCCGCTTTCACGTAATCCCTGTCTAGTCCTAAGACAAAATTGTGCTCTATGTTAAATTTCAGTAGGCACATATTAAACAGACTCTTGACCCTTGTCTTACTGAAGAGGGCGGTGTGACAATTATTCTGAAAAACTTGGAGACCCCTGCGATAGAGCGTCATGCTAGCGTGACCCACGGCGGACCTGACTCTTGCCCATGCCAATATGTCCGTCCGTTATTGGACAAAATCACCTACTTATGTCAAATTTCTAAAGTTGATTGTGTACTCTACCCAATACACTAAATTTTAAAATTAAGTAGAAAATTTTGAAAGATTACGTGCTGTTGACTACATAAATATCTTAGAATTTAAAAGACTGAATTTCTGTTTACGTAAATAGCTTTTGCAAAAGCTATTCTTATTGACTGTTATTAAATACAAGATATTATTAATTCGACTCCAAGATGCTACAATGTATTCTTTGTTAGCATTCGAAGTCTTATACAAAATCAAAACATATTGAAAATTGCTGTAAAAAAAACCAACTCACAAATCTATTGGATATGTACCTATCCAATAACTTTTATCACATTGCAATACTCAATACTCACATTGTTTATCCTATTAATCCTATTAATATTATAAATGTGAAAGTTTCTTTGTTTGGATGTTTAGATGTTTGGATGTTTGGATGTTTGGATGTTTGTACGTCAATCACGCCGAACCGAATGAACGGATTTTGATGAAATTGGGTATACAGATAGGGTATTACCTGACTTAGATAATAGGATTTCTTTTTATCCCACCAAAAGGTTCCCTAGGGATAAAAGTACCTCCAAAGGCGCCTATTTTTGTGAACGCTGCCTAAACGGTATGAGATATACGAATGCTTTCTAAAGAAAAGTTGGAGAGCCTTAAATTATCTATAAAAAAGTCCGCGATGTCATATATCTATATGCAAGGGTTTTGCCACAAAAATAAAAAGAACTTCATATAAGTCTATTTAAATTTTTCGTCCGTCTTTAAACGTTTATTTAAGTAGGTGATATTAAATCCTTATCGAAATAAATATCTTTATCGTCGAAGAAATTTAATATACATGAAAATTGTCTTTTACACCATATAGATTGGATGAGTAGTTTAGATTTTAATACGATGTTTTTGAGAAAATAAAACAACGTATATTGCCGATTTTCTAAACACTATTTTATGTACATGTATGTATTAAGATAAAACATCATTTTTAATGTAATCAGTAACATTAAGCCCAACAGATGGCATTACCCTGTGGCATTACTGTAGTATTCTACATTACGATGTTGTATTACCGCAACTACTTGGATATAGATGACTGTGACTCTGCGGTGCGGATAGTTGTAAGTGATTTCTGTGTCGTTTTGGTTCTGCGTTGTCAATTGATTCTATTTGTCGATTTGGCTATTCTAACGGACTTGACTTGATATTTTGTGTGATTTTTTCTCAAATAACTTCTATATTTTCTATCTACTTAGCTATTCTCTTAAATTACATATTTATATTAAGATCTGTATTTAGCTTTCTAAATCTACTTCTCAATTAACTCTTTGTTTATTTCTTCGGTCTACCTCTGAATCTTGCAAGTCAAGAAAACCCACCGTGCAACATTAGCAAAAGCAGCGACCGCGGTTCCCTTTTGCAACAATGTAAATTAATCGTGTAGGACGAGTGCACAATGTCACACAAGCGCGCGGTTGAGGCTTTGAACCGGAGCCTGCTGGACATCCGCAGCAATGAGACGCTGATGGGAGGTGCTGTTGTTGTACTCACTGGTGATTTTCGGCAAACTCTTCCAGTTATCGAAAAGGGTACACCGGCAAATGAAATGAACGCGTGTCTCAAGGCTTCGTAACTTTGGTCCCACGTAGAAAAACTCTACCTTACTCGGAATATGCGTGCACAACTTTACAATGATACAGAGTCAGGTGCATTTGCGAGTAAGCTGCTCGAGATCGGAGATGGTAGGCTGAAAACCGATCCGGACGGCAAAAATTATTTTCACCAATGAATTTTGTCATCCAGTAGCTACCGAGGAAGAACTACTCGCCAATGTATTTCCCGATTTAAAAAACAAAATAAATAATGAGGAGTGGTTGTTTGAGAGAGCAGTACTGTCGCCAAAAAATGAATTAGTGAATAAAATAAACAACAAGGTATGAGATGTAGTAGATGGCGCATCGAGGGTGTACACGTCCATAGACACGGTGATGGCAAGCGATGACAGCACTGCGTATCCCGTGGAGTTTCTCAACTCATTAGAATTGACGGGCGTACCGCCCCACAAGCTGGAGCTGAAGGTTGGCGTCCCAGTTTTGTTGATGCGTAATCTTGACGCTCCGCGGTTGTGCAACGGCACAAAATTACAAATCAGCGAACTGGGAAGAAACATTGTGCGAGCAACAATACATACGGGAGCAGCTAAAGGCGAGAGCGTGTTGATTCCCCGCATACCCATTATACCCCACAATTTTCTATTCCAGTTCAAAAGGCTGCAGTTCCCATTGAAATTGGCATTTGCTATAACCATCAATAAGTCCCAGGGACAAACCCTAAAAGTGGCCGGCATGCATTTGGGCATTCCCTGCTTTACCCATGGCCAACTCTATGTGGCATGTTCTCGAGTGTCAAGTGCAAGGAACCTGTATGTACTTGCTGCAAATAATAGATCGTACAACATCGTATATAGATCAATATTATAAGATAGTCATAATCGATGTTGTATGATTTATTATTATAAAAATCTGTTCAGTGGTTGCAGCGTGATTGACTGGCAAACATGAAATTGTTAATGAAAAAAAATAGAAGTTAGATCAGATTTACTTTACTCTGGATATACCTACAGAATTATTTAAATTATTTTTTATCTCACTAAACATTTCCTTAGGAACCACGCGGGCGAAGCCGCTGGCGAAAGCTAGTATTATAAATGTGAAAGTTTCTTTGTTTGGATGTTTAGATGTTTGGATGTTTGGATGTTTGGATGTTTGTACGTCAATCACGCCGAACCGAATGAACGGATTTTGATGAAATTGGGTATACAGATAGGGTATTACCTGACTTAGATAATAGGATTTCTTTTTATCCCACCAAAAGGTTCCCTAGGGATAAAAGTACCTCCAAAGGCGCCTATTTTTGTGAACGCTGCCTAAACGGTATGAGATATACGAATGCTTTCTAAAGAAAAGTTGGAGAGCCTTAAATTATCTATAAAAAAGTCCGCGATGTCATATATCTATATGCAAGGGTTTTGCCACAAAAATAAAAAGAACTTCATATAAGTCTATTTAAATTTTTCGTCCGTCTTTAAACGTTTATTTAAGTAGGTGATATTAAATCCTTATCGAAATAAATATCTTTATCGTCGAAGAAATTTAATATACATGAAAATTGTCTTTTACACCATATAGATTGGATGAGTAGTTTAGATTTTAATACGATGTTTTTGAGAAAATAAAACAACGTATATTGCCGATTTTCTAAACACTATTTTATGTACATGTATGTATTAAGATAAAACATCATTTTTAATGTAATCAGTAACATTAAGCCCAACAGATGGCATTACCCTGTGGCATTACTGTAGTATTCTACATTACGATGTTGTATTACCGCAACTACTTGGATATAGATGACTGTGACTCTGCGGTGCGGATAGTTGTAAGTGATTTCTGTGTCTGTTTTGGTTCTGCGTTGTCAATTGATTCTATTTGTCGATTTGGCTATTCTAACGGACTTGACTTGATATTTTGTGTGATTTTTTCTCAAATAACTTCTATATTTTCTATCTACTTAGCTATTCTCTTAAATTACATATTTATATTAAGATCTGTATTTAGCTTTCTAAATCTACTTCTCAATTAACTCTTTGTTTATTTCTTCGGTCTACCTCTGAATCTTGCAAGTCAAGAAAACCCACCGTGCAACATTAGCAAAAGCAGCGACCGCGGTTCCCTTTTGCAACAATGTAAATTAATCGTGTAGGACGAGTGCACAATGTCACACAAGCGCGCGGTTGAGGCTTTGAACCGGAGCCTGCTGGACATCCGCAGCAATGAGACGCTGATGGGAGGTGCTGTTGTTGTACTCACTGGTGATTTTCGGCAAACTCTTCCAGTTATCGAAAAGGGTACACCGGCAAATGAAATGAACGCGTGTCTCAAGGCTTCGTAACTTTGGTCCCACGTAGAAAAACTCTACCTTACTCGGAATATGCGTGCACAACTTTACAATGATACAGAGTCAGGTGCATTTGCGAGTAAGCTGCTCGAGATCGGAGATGGTAGGCTGAAAACCGATCCGGACGGCAAAAATTATTTTCACCAATGAATTTTGTCATCCAGTAGCTACCGAGGAAGAACTACTCGCCAATGTATTTCCCGATTTAAAAAACAAAATAAATAATGAGGAGTGGTTGTTTGAGAGAGCAGTACTGTCGCCAAAAAATGAATTAGTGAATAAAATAAACAACAAGGTATGAGATGTAGTAGATGGCGCATCGAGGGTGTACACGTCCATAGACACGGTGATGGCAAGCGATGACAGCACTGCGTATCCCGTGGAGTTTCTCAACTCATTAGAATTGACGGGCGTACCGCCCCACAAGCTGGAGCTGAAGGTTGGCGTCCCAGTTTTGTTGATGCGTAATCTTGACGCTCCGCGGTTGTGCAACGGCACAAAATTACAAATCAGCGAACTGGGAAGAAACATTGTGCGAGCAACAATACATACGGGAGCAGCTAAAGGCGAGAGCGTGTTGATTCCCCGCATACCCATTATACCCCACAATTTTCTATTCCAGTTCAAAAGGCTGCAGTTCCCATTGAAATTGGCATTTGCTATAACCATCAATAAGTCCCAGGGACAAACCCTAAAAGTGGCCGGCATGCATTTGGGCATTCCCTGCTTTACCCATGGCCAACTCTATGTGGCATGTTCTCGAGTGTCAAGTGCAAGGAACCTGTATGTACTTGCTGCAAATAATAGATCGTACAACATCGTATATAGATCAATATTATAAGATAGTCATAATCGATGTTGTATGATTTATTATTATAAAAATCTGTTCAGTGGTTGCAGCGTGATTGACTGGCAAACATGAAATTGTTAATGAAAAAAAATAGAAGTTAGATCAGATTTACTTTACTCTGGATATACCTACAGAATTATTTAAATTATTTTTTATCTCACTAAACATTTCCTTAGGAACCACGCGGGCGAAGCCGCTGGCGAAAGCTAGTACGGAATAAAAAGAACAATGAAAAGGAGAATCGGTCATAAAAAATTTAAAATTCTATTTAGTTTATTTTAATAATTAATATAAAATTCCTAATAATCATATAAAATTAAAAAAATAAATACAAGAAAATGTTACGATTTATTATACTAATTAATTGGATACCAAGTTTCTATATGCCCTATACAGGGGTCGTGGTAACAATCTATCTAACAATAGTAATTATGTCATAGATCGAGGAAGAAATATTGACTGAAGACAAACTCAACTAATTAGGGTCATGTGTGTACCCAGGTTCTTTGCCAGCTTTTAGCGTCAACAGTAGACAACATTCCTACTTACTATAATACTTAAAACCTTATATTTGTAATCGCTATTCTATTGATCTTTTTTATAAAAAAACTATAAACGAAATGTTAGGCATACCTTCTCTTTCTGTCTACTTGCAAAGGTGCTTTTGGTGTGTCCCCGCTTTACTTTCTTTCTTAACGAAGGACAATTAAAGTCTTGGCTTATCTTGTTTTATGAACTAAGTAACTACATTTATTATATTATTCAGTAATTTTATCTGTACAATACTCTTAGTCTATGGTCAATAGACAACATAATATCTAGTCAAAATGTTCGCTGCCGCCGGCACTGTTACTTCATTAGCTCCAATCAGCGTGTTCACCTGAAAATGTTACTTACTCGTATATTAACAATATTAACAAGCAAATAAATAATTTTACTAAATAACTAAACCTTCAAAAAGTTTAAGTTTATTTGTATCTTAATATCTTAAATAATACTCGTATTTTTATTTTCATGCCAACTATTATTTATGTTTCATGTTTTTTTTTATATAATAATAACATGGTATTATATTTTTTTATTCCTGCGATCTTTATAGTTAGTTACTAATTTTGATAAATTTTACATTCACAATGGTATACCGAATGAGGTATTCTTAAAAGGCCCCACGTACCCCGAGATGGGGCCTAAGCTGATAATTTAAAGCATTTTTCACGTAAATTATTTGCTGAAAATAAAGAATATTTGTTTTCTATTATTGCTTCTCTTCTCCTATATAATAATTATGGTAGGCAATTAATCTTTGCAAACAAGCTAATTTAAAAAAAAATCTTTCCCATATTAGATAGCCTTTTGATTTTTCGGAGTCTGGTCGTAGTTTTTTCTACCAGCTACAACAAGTTCTTCGGTTGCAATTTATGTCACAGGTTCTATATTGCAAAATAAAAACTTTCTCCTTCTTAGTTATTTGAAGATTTCAACTTTCTTTTTCATTTAAGAGTCTCAAACTAAACTTAAGGGTCACTTAAACAGGTTTTCGTTTCTAATTTCAGTTTTTTTAATGACGAGTTGATAGCAGTTTGACATAAACAAAAACTTAAGTTATTAAGAATAATCAGTTGAGATTTTGTACTTTTGTCAATTCAGAAAGCTTCAGAAACCGGCCGATACATATAGATGACTGTTTACATTCAAGTGAGGCGACAATGAAACCAAAAGATATTAAGGCTATTTATGTGTTTAAAGCTCTTTTTAAAAAACTCATTTCAATTACTTCAGTCATCCATCTTAAGTCATCCTAGAATTCACACTTCACATCCGACAACGACTTCTACCGAAATGTAACATTGTCAAATGCTAAGTTTTATAGATAACGGTAGACGACATAGCATTTTCTTACCTAAGATCTGTACCTGCTTATTACTCTGAGACGTTTCGACCTCCACAAGTATTACCATAAAGCATTCTTTATTTCTTATTCAATACGTAATATTGTCTAAGTAGCAATATGGATATGTATCCTTATTTCATGTACCTAATGAAACTACACGCTCACTAATAATATCTAATACATAAAATTACCTACCAACAATGCCTTCTAAAACTAACGAGATACGATTTTCCCCTGGTTGCATGTTTAAAGCTTATAATTGGCTACTAAAGTTGGTAACATGGGACGTATCACCTGCGACCACGCCCCTTCCATGTCCTGCTGGATCCGATGATGACTCGACCGAGATAATAAATTTAATTCAGCTGATCCTACTGACATATTATGTGATCGATCACAGTACGATAGCGTAACGATTATACATTGAGTTGAAATGTCGTAGAACGTTACACCTTTCTACGTTTCCTACATAACTGTCACATAGCAGATCCCCAACCCTTAACTTTAAATTGTTTAAAAAATACCATTCTAACAATTTTCTATTAGCTGACTAACAGGCTAAATACAATTTAATTTTTTTACCAAGGCACCATCCCTTTTTATGAAATATGAATTTACAATTTATATACTCGAATGCTGACAGAGACATAATCAATATTAAGGAAAAAATCGATTATTTTGGAAGTTGCTTTAAAATAAAATAAAATTTCATATTCCGTCAATGTTATTTAATCATTCATCAGTTTCACTCTGAAATTTTAAACTGTGCGGGCTTAATTTTAACTTAAGCAGCCACTACAATGAAACTATGATAGCATTCCAATAAAAATAGATAAAAATATCCATCAAGAACGAAAAAGTAGACGATAGTTAAATGACACGTTCCGTATGTGCCACTGTTTTTCAACTAGTAAGTAAGAAGTCGTCGTCGACTCGTGCATGTCACGTTCCTGATCCACGTTAACAGACACAGAAATCACAGAGGCAAATCAATAGGTATCAGTCAATTACTAGAATCAAGATTTTGGAGTATCTTTTTGTCAATTAGTACAGTCACAGGTGGCAAAATTCAGTACTATAGAAGTTTCAAGAAGGTTTTAACGCGTACGTGAAACATCAATAAAACTAAATACAAACACGGTGAAACCGTTTAAAATTTGTTTCATTTTTGGATAGTGCGCGTGATATAAGAAATCAATATATTAATGTTGTAAGCGCTTAAAAAACCCCAAATAGGCCTTAGTTTTACACTGATTTATTCTATCTATCTATATGACGGTGATGGATAAGTAACTGTCCGGAATATATAACTCTCCTATCAAAAGGTTGTAAATGAAAACCAAGATTGTCACTGAAATCGCTTATTTTTCCACACGTATATAAATATATTAGAAAGGCCTTTGCTTATAAACTATATGCGTACTCTACTTAGTTATTTACGAGCTATCGCGTGGTGTGATGTAGCGCCAAGTGTGCTCCGACGCAAGCTAAAAATGTCAAGTCAGCTAAGTACATTTATGCTGTGTCCCTAGATAAATTGAGATCTTGAAAACTTTAACACAAAGGATTTAATGTGGTTTTCAACGATATGTAGAGTAAATGAAGAGGATCGTTTATGTGTATAATACAGGACCACACAGACGAAACCTCTGACTGAAAGTTAGTTTTTATGTGTAAAAATACATTATGGTTTCTCTTTAATAGTGGCATATTATTAGATACCATTAATTTTTCCGTGACTTCGCCCACGTCAACTACAGGCTATGTTATCATTTACAATAGACTACATCCTTACCATCTCAATATAAACGCCCACAATTATTTAAACTTACCGAATTCCAAACTCCTGTATGTAGAATTTCAATTCTCAACTTAGTTTTGCCATATCGTCACTGATCTCAATTAATTACCTACCTACTCTGAATGAAAAGGATGTAGTATAACAGTATTCAATTTGCTTAAACAAGGTCTTGGCTTCGGATTAATGTATTCTTATTTATTTTTTAACCAATTTATAAAAGGTGGAGGTTCTTAACTCGACTGTCTTCTTCTTTACATTATGTTATGCTCCACATACATAAAAAACTACTAATCCGATTTCTAAATTGTATACTAAGAAATCGGATTAGTAGTTTTATTTCTAAATTAAAATAATTGAAAGAACTATATCGCCTAAATGTATGCTATCGATATCGCAGTCACCAAAAACTTCAACAGTTTAAAAGGGAAATTAAAAACTTAATAAACACGGTA